CCCAAGTGCCCATAAACTGGTAAATGGAAAAAGAAAACAAAATCAAAATATAACTGCCCTTTTGTTCACTTTCATTTAAGTATTTCTAAATCATCCTTTTATAAATTCAAAATAGCTCTACGCTTAGCCCACACTTGCATTCTAAACATTAATTAGTCCAGTTGCATAAATCTGTAGCCACTTAAAATGTGCATAACAAGTTTTCCCACAGTGAAAATGATTTTTTAATGGAAAACTTGTATACAATCCATTTCTAACCCTAATTAGATTTATCTGGGGAAAACACCATTGGCTAAGTGATACAACTAAAACGAGCTAAACAGAACGCTAATACACTCTAAATGGTGGAATACTGCTCCATCTCAACAGCATAATAACCAACATTAATAAGGAACTGGAAATCTGTAATTTTGGTAGTTATTCACCAAGTAAGCACTTTGTTCTATTTATAAACAGGCATCGTGCTCTCAGGGACAACAGCAATATCTCCCAACTTGCAGGCTCCACTTGCACTAATGCAAATGCTCTTGCATGGCAATCACATCTTTATTTCACTTGATATATAAATAAAAATGATTATTTTCCCGACTGAAGTAATGAAAGTCTTAAGTAGTAAGCAGATTACACATAAAGTCAGCTCTCATTTATGAGTTATAATTTAGTGTGGTTATTACATCTACTGTTAATGTGTAACACACGGCATCTTAGAGCTAAGCACTGTGTTTTGATCTAATAATAGTAGCTATAACACTCTGAAATGTGTTTCATGAATCAAAGCCATAATGTGTTCATTGAGGGTTTGGATTAGCACTCATGAGATCTAGATCTATGACAAGCTGCTGAAAGAGGACAAAAGAAGACAGGAACGCTTTTAAGGAGTTAAAGAAAAAAAAGGCAAAAGACAATCATTTGGAAGAATGCTTTCTCCTTGCTAAGTGGAACGTGGCAGGACTGCTGGTGGGCTCCTTCGTTTACTGACACAATTTTAATGGGACAGTAAGTGCCCACTTGCACTAGCGCAGCGTGATCTGCTCCAAAGAAGCCACCATGGGGGCGGGCTGTCATTTTCTGAAGCATTGTAGAAGCAGAAAATAGGAAATCCAAAAGTCACAAAAGGCTTTTCATGGACATGAAAAAGAAGGATGGAGATTCAGAATAAACTCACGGAGCTGAGCACAACAGGAGAAAGCTACAGTGCTATACTGAGAGCTGAAATGATCCATCCTCGCATTGGCCAAGACATAACAGGACTTCCTTAGCCACTACAGGATGTCTGGATCAGTTAAATGGGAAATGCTTCATATGTTCAGGCTGTTATCTTCTTCTTCTTACCTCTACCATAGACTGATCTTCATGCAGCAGGTGTTTCCAACTGCATTGTCTCAACATTTGCCTGGCACTTACCCCGTGAGAAGCACTCTAAAAACAAAGCACACGGGTAAGCGACATCCTTCCATTACCATCCAACACTAAACCACCTCATACAGTGCTGAAACTGAATCATGTGAGCGCACTTACCAGAAGAGAAGAGAGAGCAATTTGAGGACTCAAGGAAAACTTTACAAAGAAAACACTTTAGAGGAAAGGGGTAAGAGAGACTACTAGAGCACAGATAAGGAAGGTCATACAGGCAGGCAAAAAAATAAATGACACCCAAAGGTGTAAAGAGCCCACTCAGGGAATGGTGACAAGGTCACCATGACTGGAACACAGCACATGCTCAGAAGGCATGTGCTGGAGACACAGGCAGGGTGGGAGGTGCACCTGCATTAATAAGGAGGACTTAAAGGGCAAAAGATAGGCGCTCAAGAGAAAGAAGGATTTCACGAGACGTCGGTCTTCAAATGGACTTTCTAAGACAACAACTCTTCCTTATACTCAGAACATTCAGTGACCACTGGCTAACATGTGAATTACTCTGGGGCCAGCTGGTGGCATGGTGGTGAAGGAAGCTGGATCCCATATGGCCGGCTGTGTAGTTTGAGTCATAGGCCTGGCGGCTTTGAAAAACACTCTAGATGCTTGTGTGTGCATGCCCAAAATCTCAAGGAGAGGATGGGGAAAAAAAAAGGTATTGTGGCATGGCCATCCCATGTGGGTGCTTTCTCTCTCTCTCGCTCGCTCTCTCTCTCTCTCTCCTTTTTGAGTGCATATACCCTAGAGCAAAATTTGAAAAAATTATATTGGGTCATTGGAAAAGTCATGAGGCATTTTTGCATGGAAAGAAAAAGAAGGCATGACATGAGACACTGCTGGAGACACAGGCAGGGTGTCATGACTTTTCCAGTGACCTAGTATTTTTAAAGTTATTCTGAATCCATAGAGAAACCACCACAGAATTTAATGAGTTTTGCATCCAACAAAGGAAAAACAAATACTAGTCAGTACAATGACAAGTCAGAACATGCCAGAAGACAGCATATGTCCATACCACAACAGGCATCTAGAAAAATGCCATGGCTGACAGCTTCAGGGAGTATGAACAGTGTTGGTAGCTGAACAGGATCCTCCACTGCAGGCTGACTCTTCTAGAGCCCTGATAACCAATCTAGTACCCAGGAGTCTCACATGACCCTTTAAATGTAAATTAAGTAAAGTTTAGGGTCAGCAGGTGGCATGGAGGTTAAGGCAGTGGGATCCCACATGGCCAACACCACAGTTCAAGTGTCAGACCCAGAAGCTTGAAAAGCATGCCAGGCACATGTACATACATGCCCAAAATCCCAAGAGGAGAATGGAGAAGGGATTGTGGCCATCCCTGCTGGGGTGTGATTTCTCACTTTCTTTCTCTTTTTCTCACATTCACTCTCTGTCTCTCTCTGGTAAGCACGCACAACCTATAACAAAAACAAGAAATAAATCTTATAAAAAAATTAGATAAAATTTACGACTCAGTTCCTTCTACACTAGGTTACAGTTCAAATGTTCAATGTACAGCACTGAACACTGTAGGTAAGGAACTTCTCCCTTATCAAAAAACTGGATTGGTCAGTGCTACCATAGTATCACCACTGCAGGAAGATTCTCCCTAAAAACTGGAAGGACAGAAAGTCACATTACAAGCTTTTTTGAGATCCGTAGCTCATTTACAGGGGCACACATGTGTGATCAATATATGTCTGTCAAGTTTAATGTTATTACGAAAGAGCTGTGGAACGATGTACAAACTACATTCTGGGCAAAAGCTAAATATCTGCCCGGCCTCAAACTGAAGCTTTGTACCAGAGTTGTAAAAGTAACTGTATAGTGCAGAAATATTAGCGAGCTTGTCGAGTCGGATACAGCCAATTTAAATATATATATATATATATATATATATAGAGAGAGAGAGAGAGAGAGAGATAGATGTGCAACTTATCACAATAGGTATCTTTCAAAATAGATACTAGAAAAATGAATGACGTTTTATACTGTGAAAGTAAAGCTTATTTGTGGGATGGAATCTTGTAGAAAATCAATCTATATGGGACTAGCTGGTGGCATGGTGGTTAAGGCACTGGACTCCCACATGGCCAACTACAGTTCAAGCCCCAGATCTGACAGCTTGTTTTCTCTCTCTCTCTTTCTCTCTCTCTCTCTCTCCCCCTCTCTTTCTCTTTGGTGAGTATATGTGCCCTACAACAAATTTAAAAATAATAATAATAATAATATGTAAAATTTAAATAAATAATTCTAAAACAAAGAAAACTAGTAAGATCATCACCTTTTAATTTATCCAGCTAGAGTATCAGAGATTGAGCCACTGTCTTTGATGTCGAAAAAAAAAAAAAAAAAAAGCCAATTCTGTTATTCTGTGTTGCTCAAACCATCAGGATAAATTAAATCCCATGGAGCAAACACTGACCAAGAGTAGACAGGTGTCGGGAAGATGTAAGTTCCTCCTTCCCCGCCCAGGATGGACTGTGTGTGCGCACACGCGTGTATACTTACATACACCTAAGGAGCTATGACAAATGTTATTCATACGTATTTCAATGAGGAAAAGGAAAAGAAGAAAAATCCAATAGAAAATGAATAAGAGACTTCCATAGGGACTTCACAAAAGAGGATCTCTCCTGAGATAATGCCTCCTTAGTAATCAGAAAAATGGAAATCAAATCATAATAAGACATCACTAAAGCTTAGGAGAACAGACAAAATTGAGAAAAGAAACAATACCCAGGTACTGGCTTGGAGTGACTGGCAACCCCGTACACTGCTGTTGAAGGGTAATCAGTAAGACCCCTTGGGAAAATCATTTGTTATTATCTACCGGGGTTAACCACATCTGTCAACGTACACTTCAGTGCTACACGCAATGTGTGTCCACGCACACTACGGATACACACAAGATGATGAGGGCAGCATTATTTTTAGGAGCCAAAACTGAAAACAAACCAATGTCATTCAATGTTAGAATCAGTAAGTGATATACAGCAAGTGATTTTGATATGGCAATAAAAATGAGCATTCTATAGCTATGTATAGTAGCACAGACGAATCTCACAATCAAAACAGTGAATGTAACTACTGCTGTAAAGTGAGAAAATGGGTCAGATCAAACTGTAATTCCAGGGCTATTGGGCCATGTGTGTGCACGGCAGGCATTAAAATTACTTCAAACAAAAACAGAAATCACAAGGATCAGGTTATCAAGACTTTCCAGGACGGTGGCGATCTCTGGAACGAGAGAGGAGGGTTAGGAAGTGTACTGGTGAGTGAGGGGCACATCTGAGCGGGAGGGTAGCTGTGTCGTATTTCTATACGTGGCTGGCAGTTTCTCGGGTGCTCTGCTTGTGAACAGTCATTGAGCTGGACTTTTGGTTGTGTGTACTTTTCTATATGAAGGCTATACTTTGTACACAAAAAAGGCTGAGAAGAAAAGCTGTCTCTGCACACATGCGTGTGCACACACATGCACACGCACGTACACATAAGATCCCCCTCATACATGTGGTGAGGTGCGCCCCTTTCATTCTCTTGCCACCTCTCCACGCTCCCTCCCGCTCACCCTAACTTACCTCTTGCAGCGCTTTACTAACTAATGCTGGGACACTGGTGTTCTCCCTGCCTTCAGGATGGATCTGGAAATTCACTCTTTGGTAAAGAACCTGAAACAAGAATAGGCAATGTTATACAGGAGCTGTGCTGTTTTTAAATTTGCCTCTTCACAAGACAGTCCTGAGATTTCAAAAAGCACTCTTTAGAGGAAAAAAGTCACTGTTTCCCAATACACAGTTTTGTAGTTCTAGGTTTTCTTGAGGACTTCGTGAGTAGCTCTATAAGGGAGGCAACAGTTTCAGATATGGGAATCCCCTGTGGAAAACTCGAGGTGCAAAACTAATGAAACTTGAGGTGCAAAAGTAATGAGAGACAGCAAGCTGAAAATGTACATTCCAGAAACTCACCATCCATTTAACGGTTCTCAACAAGGGCGCGATTCTAACCTATGCAGATCTATCCCGTCAATTTTAAGGAACTTAGCAACTCCCCAACAGAAGCCACAATTTCTTTTTTTTTTTACTTTTTTTTTGGAGAGGTTTTTGCTTTAGGGCGCGTGCGCTCGCCAGACAGACAGAGAGAGACAGAGAGATAGAAAGCGAGAAATCACCCCCCAGGGGGGATGGTCACGCGACAATCCCTTCTCCTCCATTCTCCTCTCGGGATCTTGGGCATGCACGCACATGCGCCCGGCGTGAGTTTTAAGCCACCGGGTCCGGGACGCGAACCGCGGTCGACTACGTGGGAGTCCAGCGACATAGCCATTACGCTAACTGCTGGTTCCCCACAATTTCTTTTTCTTAAAAGAATTATTTGATCTAATTTTGTTTATTATTATTATTTAATTTGACCAGAGAGAGCTATAGAAAGACAGAGAGAGAAAGTGAGAAAGCAAGCCATCAGGTCTGGGCTTCGAACTACAGTAGGCCAGGAAGGAGTCCAGAGCCTTCATCACCACACCGCCTGCTGGTCCCAGGTTTTTCTTCTATTAGAAGCACTTACTTCTGTCTGGAGGGAGCTGCTAGCTGTCAGAAGAAGTTCAATGCTGCCAGGAGGGCAATGCGTCAAGGCAAAAGCCATGAGCTCTTGTCGAGTGGCCAAGTCCTGGTAACCTTCTGATTGTCCCAACTGGCTACAAACATCCCAACTTTTAGGATAACCTGAAAAATCGACAAGAAAAAAAATGACTTCCAGAAAAAGAAAAATACTTTATCTGAGAGAAGAGACACAATGGCTTCCTGCTCAGGTTCAAAACCACTAGGGACACATTATGACATAAGCAGAAAAGCCTAGGAATCCAAGATTAAAAAGAAAGATCAAGTTAGTTCACTATCCAGGAGTTCAGTGCGACTCCAGACAAGTGTTTCTGACAAACCCTGTTAAATTTTAGATTAACTGACAATCAACATAAATAATCTACTGAGCTTGGCTGGTGAGTAACAAGGTAGATATCTGAATTAAGAAGACTTGAGAGTGACCCAACTCTGCCTCTCAGTGCCCATGAGTCTCACACAGCTCCAAGTAAGACATACTTCTTTTACTAAGACAGAGACAACAATAAGGGGCCGCCTTCTTCTAGATCTACTAAAAGGAATAAGTAACATTTGCATTTAAAAACATCTTGTAAAGTGCAAAGTGCTAGAAAAAGAGACTTTAAAATAAATATCTACACAAGATCACTTAATACAAGAAGACAGACTTTCAAGGACAAGGACAAAAATAGAACCAGCCTATATAATCAGCAGAGATCTTCTCCCTATGCCATCCTTATATTCTTCATTTTTAAAATGTATTTTGGGTACCAGCAGGTGGCATAATGATTATGTTGCTGGACTCCCATGTAATCGACCGTGGTTTGAATCCCAGACCCAGTAGCTTAAAACAGATACCAGACACGTGTGCCTGCGTGCCCAAAATCTGAAGAGGAGAATAGAGAAGGGACTAGGGCATGGCCATCCTCCCTGGGGAGGGCATGGGGGGTGTAATTTCTCACTTTCTAGCTCTCTGTCCCTGTATGTCTCTCTGGCAAGCACACATACACTATAGCAAAAATCTCTATTAAAGAAAAATATATGTGTGTGTATGTATGTATGTGTGTGTGTGTGTGTGTGTGTATTATTGGACCAGTTGCTGGCATGGAGGTTAAGAGACCTGGATTCGCACATTGCTGACTCAATGGTTTGAGTCCTGGAAACTGCAGCTTAAAAATCACAGTGGGGGCACAGGATTGCATGCTCAAAATCCTAAGAGAATGGAGGAAAAGGGATTGTGGCGTGGCCATCCCTCCTGGAAGGTGATTCCTCACTTTCTGTCTCTTTGTTTCTCTCTGCCAACCAAATGTACCCAACAGCAAAAAAGAAAACACACACACACACACACACACACACTTATTCTCTAGAGGAAAATATAAGAGAAGGGATTTGGGCATGGCCATCCCTTCTGGGAAGTGATTTCTCACTTTTTTTCTCATTATCTTCTTTCTCCCTGATTCTCTCCAGCAAGTGCATGTGCCCCATGGCAAAAACTTAATAATAATAATAATAATAATAATAATAATAATTAGGGCACTATACTTATGAAAACAAAGTTCTTATAAAGCTCTCTAAATAAATAATTTGGGATTAATAAAACTGTTTTTACAGAAAACCATAATTATTCTGAATTTAATGTTGTAGCATCACTTGGTTAACATTATAGAAAACAGCTCTTTTATGAAATCAATTTTCTAATGTTGAGGTTGTGACTACTGAAAGATTTGTTTATCTATCTATCTATCCATCCATCCATCCATCCACCTATCGCCGAGTTTTAAATGTGTTCCTAGCTATATTACCAAAGAGTCTCTTTCTGACGGAACGTTAGTCCGGCTCCTGGGAGCCTGCTTCCCAACTCGCCACAGCCTTGGTGCCCGCCATAACTGGCACTGCACACTCCACTGCCAGCACAACCCTGCTAAGTTGGTCTAGTCAGAATCCTCACACTCTTAGTGTCTGATCCCCTCCGATAACATAAAACTTCCCATCCCTCACGCTTGCTCTGACCACACAGGCAAGCCTTCAGCAAGGATTCTCTTAAATCAGTTTAGCAAGAACCCCCACCTCTTAGTAATTTTCTACCCCCTGAATCCTTCGGTCTGCTCACTGGCTATGTATGTCTGTCTCTATCACATTCAGAGTTGAGTCCAATCTTTTTCTCATACTAGAATAGTTTTTACAACTAGTAAATACTCTTTTACTATTATTAACAAGTCTCAGAATAGTTTTTTCACATTGTACATATAACAAATGCTATTCTTGTTCATAAAATGAGAAATTATTCCATAAAAAGCTACTTATATTCCAGAGACCTGAATTTGAATTTCAATATGAAAAAAAAATGTTTTCATTGCCAGAGGGCACGTATGCTCACCAGAGAGAGAAAGAGAGAGACAGAAAGCACCCTTTCCCATTTCTCCATCCCATCAGGATTTTACGCAGATACACATGCACCGAGCATTATATCCAAGCACTTAGGGTCCGGATTCAAACCATGGTTGGCCATCTGGGATCCAGCTCCCAATGCACAGTGCTCAACCACTGCATGAGGGGGGTCATTCCTGACTATGGAAAATTGTGAAGGCTGCAAACTACTTACCAATTTCTCAGCATTAACGTGAAAAGCGTTATGTTATCTTTAAAAATGAAGGAATACAAATATTGACAAGGGCTAGCCTTGTGGCCTACTCATTAAGAGAGTCAGATCCCACGTGGCTGGCTAACCGATTTGAGTCCTGGACCCAATCACTTGAAAAACACACCAAGTGCATGTGCGTGCCTGCCTAAAATCCTTACAGGATGGAGAAATGGAGGAAAAGGACTAGGATGACCATACTACATTGTGGGTGCTTTCTTCCTCTCCCTCTGTCTGTCTGTCTGTGGCAAGCACCCTCTGGCAAATAAGAACTTAAAAATTATATTGACTATATAGACATAGATTATAGATAGTATTTAATTTTACATGTTATTTTGTATAACAAATACATGAAATGGCGTTAAAATATCCTTTATAAGATCAGTTAAAATTATGAGCACGGAGCCAGCTACACAAAGAAGTAGCTAGCTCTGTTTATATGGAGCCAGATTCCACAAGGCCAACAGCAATTCGAATCCCAGCCCCAATGGCTTAAAGAATATGCTGAGTATGCATGCATGCCTCAAATTCAGATGGGATGGAAAAGTGGAGGGAAAAGGATTGCGCTGTGACCATGCCCCACTGGGAAGAGCTTTGCCTTTCTCGTCTCTCTATCAGGTGAGCATATGTGCCCCCTGGAAATAAAAGTAATAAAATAAAATAAAAATTATGAGCATGGTTTTAATAGAAAATGGAAACAATCCAAATCTTGGATAATATATAGTATCCGAGCCCATTAAAATATTTACATTAACATAGAAGCACACAGCACACATAACTTATGAGTGCACATAAAATATAGCTCAAGTCAAAATGAGTCTGGTTTACAAATCAAGCCAATTGATTTCAGAACGGACCTCTGCATTATTTATAAGGGAAAAAGGACACCAGCAAAGTGTTGAGTACACTGTCCACTCACCTGTTGCCATCAGCTCCTGACAATGCATATTGGCTGCTTTGTAGTCATGGAAATGAAGGGCTTGCTCTACTAATAGGATGAGAACCTGTCCCCGCCTTTCTTCTGGGTCTTCACCTGTAAGCACATGCATAGGGCTTGATTAGGGCAGTACAATGGATAAAAGAGCTCATTAACACTGTCTTTCAAATTAACTCAAAAGTAAACCACAAGATTAGAGTGATTTTGTATGAATAGATAACAAAAGGTCACAGCAACCTTGACCTTTTAATCTACTTATTAAGCATGGAATTAGTCCTCTGTCTCTTCAAATATCAATGATTAATAACAGTTCCTAATTACTGACTCAAATGAGAAAGTTAAAAATTAGAGTGGTCTACAATGCTACTGAAAAGTCTTGTTATTACTGAGGTAAGGAAAAGAAATCTATGCTCCCTTGGGCTGGTCCTGTGTCCTATTGATTAAAGGAAGTCAGGTCGCACATGGTGGACAGTGGTTGGACCCTGCCCAGGCAGCTGGAAAAACACAATGGGCATTTGTCCTTGCATGCCTCAAATCCCAAAAGGTTGGAGAAATGGAAAAAAGGGACTGAGATGTGAGCACTCCTAAGTAGGGGGAGCTTTCTCTCTCTCTTTCCCTCTCCCTCCCTCTTCCTCTCTCTTCCTTTCTGGCAAGGAAATTTATGCTTCCAAAAGAAAAGGGTTTATAAAAGACCTTGAGAAACAGTGACTTGCTGATTAAATGAACTAAAATATAAGTGTTTTCCATAGCACTAAGACTATCTCCTTGAATGAATCCTCCCAGATGGACTCCTTTGAACTAGACAGTTTAAATTGAATTGAATCGCAGTTTAATAAAAATTGGCCAGCCTGTGGCATGGTGGTTAAGGTGGCTAGATCCCACAAGGCCAACTGTACAATCTGAGCCCTGAAAGTCGAAGCTTGAGAAACACACAGGGCACCTGTGTGTGTGCTTGCCCAAAATTGCAAGGGGGCGCAGCAGCAGATGGCATAGTGGTTATGTCACTGGAGTCCCACGTGGTCCATTGTGGTTCAAGTCCCAGACTCAGTGGCTTGAAAATCACTCCTGGCACATGTATCTGCATGCCCAAGATCCTGGGAGGAGAATGGAGGACAAGGGATCGTGCTGTGGCCATCCTCCCAAGAGGGGTGCTTTCTTACATCTCCTCTTACTATCTCTGTCTCTCTGTCTCTCCAGCATGCACATGCGCTCTAAAACAAAATCCTCTTTAAAAATTGCAGGGGAGCCAGCAGGTGGTGTGATGGTTAAAGGCGCTGGACTCCCAGGTGGATGACTGCAGTTCAAGTCCCAGATCTGGTGGCTTCCCTTCTCACTTCCTCCCCTACTCTCTCTCTCTTACTCTGCCCCTATCTGCTCAAATTAAAATAATAACTAAATAAATAAATAAAGTTAAATAAAATGATTATTTTTAAAAAATTGCAAGAGGGAAATGGAGCAAAGGGAACTTCAGCTCTGTCTCCCTCTGGCAAGTATAAGGGCTGACGCACAGATGTGGTCAGGGGTGATCAGGCCCAGCACCTGCAGGACACGGGCTCTTGTCTCATGCTCACAAAGAATGAGACACAGACAGGGAGAGAGGGTAGTAAGCAGAGTTTGTTTATTTATTTATTTTATTTAACTTTATTAACTTACTTATTTTAATTTGACCAGAGAGGGACAGAGGGACAGAGAGAAAAGTGAGAAAGCAAGCCACCAGGTCTGGGACTTGAACTGCGGTCAGTCATGTAAGGAGTCCAGTGCCCTTAACCATTATGCCACCTGCCAGCCCCCCAAGCAGAGTTTATTAAGAAGAAGACGGA